TATTTTTTCCTTGTAATTGTACCTGGGCGCCAGTCTGTTAAAATGGCATCTTACATAAAAGTGCGTACGAAGCAGATATAGTGAAATAAATTTCCCCAAGGTTAAAAAATAATTGCAATTTTTGATATACATCGACGCTTGCTGAACGTTTACGAAGACCAAACAGTGGATATGAGCACTGAGTAATGCGTTTCAGCAGTGACGATACTTAGCAATGTATGAAATGAAGGGTCCTTGTTCATCGCTGGTGATAACACAAAACCAATAATGGTGATTCTTTATGAAAATAAAATTTTGTAGCTGAAAACTTACCGAAATTCTATTCAACTTTGTGGTGAGGCCTCCTGAATCTGTTGTATTTTTGTGAAATAAATTAGAAGTATTACTTTCGGGACGTCCCTCGTATGTACATGAGGGTGATGAAAAATTATTGTCTGGGCCTATTTTATTTTTAGTGAGGTTTCAATCGTCTTAACTGGTACACGTGAAGTCAGCGTGGAATATTTTTTACTTTCAGCTTTCAAATGAATACCAGGATGTAGCCAAAGGAATCTTGTCTACCTCACATTCACCAGATGACACACACACACACACACACACACACACACATATATATATATATATATATATATATATATATATATATATATACTTAGTGATTTGCAAGACATAGCATAGATGTCGTAAGTATAGAGTACTCACTACTGAGTCGGAATTAATCTACTGAGACAAACTTGCTAATAATTACACCATGTCGAAATAACAGGCTTGTTCGGAATTTGAACCTGGGACCTCTCTCACCCAAAGCAAGAATCATACCAATGAGTCAAAGGGGTGTGTGCGCGCGTGTGTGTGTGTGGTTACGGAATGCCCGTTAAACATTTTGATGAGTTTCCTGGTGTCGAATAATCCGTTTAATGTCATGGGAAAGTTTCTAAAGGAACTTAAAATCATAGGTTCAGAGTATTTCCGAGCAAAGATAGCCGAGAAAGAAATAGAGCCACACCAGTTCACAATTTTGTTCATTTCAAACTTCGGAGAACCAAAAACTTAAACGCTACAATGAATATTCTCTTGATATCTTAATTTTTTTTCCCTTGAAAATAATCAGCGATACTTGAAAAATTCAACATATAATTTCGGCAGCTTTTTTTTTTTTTTAATTTCCTCTGACATCAAAAGAAGCTTGACATTAACACCAAGAGAAATTCACCAAAAAGTCTTAATGATATTTCCTGTCCGTTCTGATTAACAGAACATGTTTAAACGAAGGTTTGCTACTTAAATGTATGTTGAACAGCATATCTATATGTCTGAATAAGTGAACGACATGATATCACTAATTCAACAAATGAGTCTTCTACTTTCATTGCAAACCAGAATTAATAAATCAAAACCAATTACAAGGTGAAGATTGGGCAAAGAAAAATTTTCTCTCTCTCTCTCTCTTTATATATATATATATATATATATATATATATATATATATATATATATGTGTGTGTGTGTGTGTGTGTGTGTATTTAGGTAGCAATCCCTCTTTTATACATGTTTCACTAAAGACGACTGACAAGGTACTGCAATTAAGCTTTTTATTTAATTTTTCTTGTGTTCGTACAAGTGTTTTCTTTTCTGGACACAAAGTGTGTAAAAACTGTTCAAATATTCTGCATATCCGAGTAATTTCAGCTATTCTTTTAGCCATTATCAAGGATAATTTTATTTTCACTTTTTTAACTGAATACGTGGGTTGTGTTATGTATGCATCTAGAGTTATAGGGATGTTTTATTTTCCAAACATGGCCAGCACACTGTGGCTATGATTATAGTTAATGGTATTGAGTGTTGGCTTTTTCTTTTTTATTATCAGGGCTTCCATTATTTTTAATCTTTTTTTTTTTTTACATGTGGATGCTTGTATTTTCTACTGGTGTGTTTCGGGTTGAGTCTGTTCCGATAAATGTAAAAGTATTTACACATAACAGAATGCAACAAACCCAAGTAGAATTCGAACTCCGCTCTCCGATTTTTCTATCCATTAAACTATCCGCATATCCTTTTTTTTAATTATAAGACAAATTTTCTTTTTAATTATAGTGGTTGATAATTATAGTACAGTGTAACCCGGATATAAGAGAGTTGTCGGGACCGGAGAAGAAGTCTCTTATATCCGGGTTTGGTCTATTTTGTTTTCATTAACACAGGCTCTAATTTGGGACCAGAGAAAATCTCTCTTATATCCGGGTTACACTGTAATAATAAATTATTTAATAGAAATTTCTTTTATATATATAATTTTTATTATAAGAGATTATAATAAAATACTTTTAATTAAAAATGTTTTTATTATAATCTATTATTTAAAAATATTTTTATTTTAATCTCTTATAATAAAAATATCTTGCTCTACTTTGTATTGAGCATTTTTAAAAAAAAGTAAATGATACGAACTGTGGATTTTTACTCCATTTGATCTTATATATGTGTGTGTGTGTGTGTCAGACATATCACACCTCGAGTTAATGAATCCGGACCTAATAATTGTAAAGAAGGAAATGGGATAGCCTAGAAAAGTAGAATAGGTTCTGCCAGTCAATCACAAAGCGAAGATGGAGGAGAATCAGATAAAAATACTAAGACCTTGCTGGAGGACTTTAAAAGTGATTGTCCTGCTCATGATAAATGGTGCATTGTCTCAAATAGACCTGATCAGAGAGATTAAAAGAACAAATTATTGACTTGAGACAATTAAAACCGCAGTAGTACTGGAACTGAGAAAAGGACTGAAACATTTAGGAGACTTGTTGTCACTTGATTCTTAATAATAATCACCAGGTTCTTCATGTGTAAAGATGCAAACATATAAACAACAATAATAATAATAATAAAGTCCGAGTGAGTTCTAAAGAAAACTTGAAGATGATGAAAAGAATCAAAAATATGTTATCAGACATTGCATTATGATTTATGCATTGCTACAACCTTTACGAGTTCAGAGTGTTCACACATTACTATTTCGGTTCCATCTTGCAAGATTTCTCTACATGGAAACACGCTGCACTTGCAGACCTCCTCTCTCTCTCTCTGCGTGTGTGTCCTAAGCAGCAATAGCGATGCCATTAGATTGATTCTGAACCAACAAATTCTACTAAAGAAATTCTTTGTCCATAGATTTTTTCTTACCATTGTTTTCATCTTTGTTATTAAAATAACGTTTCAGTCGATATGTTCTGCTTTTTGTTAGTTTCGTGAATTTCTCAGACGAATTACTACTACCACTACTACTACTGTTATTAATTGATGTTGTATCACAAAGTTTAGATTGATTTATTCTTCGGCCTTCCTTTATTGTTTGAAGTTCTTTAGAATAAGTATTTCTTTCTTTTCTACATATTAGTTATTCGGATGACTGTTTTCATTTTGTTTGTTTTTCGCGCGATGTTTCGGCCGAGACGTCTTTTCACCATCTTCAGGTGTGTATTGCATCCGGTTTTGGGAATTCAGATTGATCTTTTTCTTTCTTATTTTCCTCTCTGCTTTCAAAAGGCTGGGTGATAAGGAATAGTTTTACTCACTACTGCACACATTTTGACTAATTTTCTTTATCTGTTTTCTTCCTTTTTTCATCAGAAAGTTTTTTAGCCGACCTATTCGTCGGTTGTTGAATTAAATTTTGCGAATCGGGAATGCACAAGTGGCTTTGGACAACTTTCAAAACTCGCATTGACTTTGTGAGTTCGTCTTTCATGAAAGCGTAAAATTTATCTATCTTATCATATCTATGTATGTATCTCAGTCTGTTCATATCTATCAATCTATCTCAGTTTGTTCTTATCTCTCTATCCCAGTTTGTTTCTATCTAATAAGTATGTTCATATATATCTATATATCTATCTGTTCATATCTAAGTCTGTTCATATATATCTGTTCATATCTATCAATATATCTATATCTGTTCATATCAATCCCAGTCTCTTCATATCTCTTTTCATCTATCGATCTGTCTGTTCATATTTATCCATCTATCTATGTCTGTTCATATCTATATCAATTTGTTCATCTCAGTCTGTTCATATCTATATCAATCTATTCATATCTATCTATCTCAGTCTGTTCATATCTATCTCAGTCTGTTCATATCTATCTATGTCAGTCTGATCATATCTATCTATCTATCTATGTCAGTCTGATCATATCTATCTATGTCAGTCTGATCATATCTATCTATCTATGTATGTCAGTCTGATCATATCTATCTATCTATGTCAGTCTGATCATATCTATCTATCTATCTATGTCAGTCTGATCATATCTATCTATCTATCTATGTCAGTCTGATCATATCTATCTATCTATCTATCTATCTATCTATCTATCTATCTACGTGTGTAAAACAGTGCTTTACAGTCAGGGTGCACAGATAATACACTTTGATTCTCGGCAGAAGTACTAGGGAGAACTATTTTGATCATAAACATAGCAGTTACCTTGCAGTGCCTCTGCATCATAAAAACACATCCTTATTTTTGTAGATAATATGCGGATAAATTAAAGACAAAACAAGAAAAACAAGAAAATAAATGTCAAAATATTTCATCAAAATAAAATATGTTAACTTTTTCCGTCTTCGAACACTTCCCGACCCTCCATTATTTGGCACACATTTTATTGGAGATTCAAAACTTTAAGGAATCAAGAAATGACACAAAAGACAAGAATTGAGTTCTAGGTTGCTAGGTAATAGCTAATCTATGTGACCAGATATCCTGGCCAGACTCGTCGTAGATGTAGAAAAGTCTTCAATTAACTGTGAAAAGTGATTCTACTGACGAATGTTGCGAATACCATGGGTAGAACGTATGGGAAACGAAGAAAATTTAAGGGGAATAGGAGCCACAAAGAACACACAATGAGGAAGGGAGGTTTAGAGAATTTAGCACGCATAAGGCACACTGAAAACAAGAGAAGCAGAGGGAAACAAAGAATAACCTAAAGTATTGCTAAAAACAATAACAGAAAAAAAAGATGTGGACAGCCGTTTCCTGAAAGGATATTGATAGATAGATAGATAGATAGATAGATAGATAGATAGAGAGAGAGAGAGAGAGAGAGAGAGAAGCAGAAATAGATTCGAAAAGTTGAGGACTTCAGGGCCACAAATCAGTTTTAGTTGATTCTGACCATTCTCCCGTTTACAAACCAGAACAAAAGATACCTCATTATTTTCAATAGTTAATGATGATTTACGTGTGATTAATTAATCATTCTTACAGTTGTTCATCAAGGTGATGATTGATTAATCTTTTATCAAAATCAGTAGATAGCCAACAAATTTCTACAGATTAATTTCTATTTAAAAAAAAAGAAAGAAAGAGCTCTCTCAACGCGGAACGAAAATGTACTTCTTAGCCGGAGATTTTGTGTCGGTGATGGAAATGTTTTTAAAGCATCACACTCTTCTACTGAAGATATATGCATATTGCAAATGACTCAACAAGAAATAAACGAACAAAAGACGTACATTTCTCAATAAAGTTGAAAGATAATGATTAAAAAATTCTTTCTGTGCTTGATTGACAAATTAAGACAGATACACCCATTGTCCACTGAACTCTGTGTGTACGTCCAGATTAATTACGTTGGGAAAAACGATTTTTAAAACGAAGAAAAATTAGTAGCAAGCAGCTTTTAAGAATTCTAGTCTAACCTAAAGACTTTATCGCAGGAATCAAAGAATTTTATAGAATTGAAACGGTGAGATTCGATTGTAGTAAAAAAAAAAAGCAAGAAAGACATCTACGAGACGCAAATGACTGCCAGGAAAAAAAGTCTGGTGTCGTTTATGCAAGGAAACAATAGAAAGTTTTGTGGTCCCACAATCGGGATTTAGTTGGAAAGAATTTTGGTGTGATTTCAAATATAAATCTATACCATTCCTTTTAATGATAGTAAATGTTACATTTATTTACAAATGCTTCTTTTATGGAAATTTGGCTTACGGCCACATCATGTTCAAACAACAGTCCCCGTAAGATCACCGAATTTAAGCAACGTCGAGCCTGTTCAGTACCTAGATGAGTGACCGCTTAGAAATACCAGGTGCTGTAAGCTTGGAATTGCAGGTGGCATAATGAATAATGGTTCGGAATTTTTAATCAGAAAATCGAGTTCCAATTCCACTTGTGCTCGTTATATTTCCTTACGCGCAAAAACTCTTGGGGAAAGTATTATTATTCCATCTCTTTACCATCACCGCCATAGATTAATTAGTAAGATTTGTATCATTAAACTATTGTAATCGCCAAAAATAAAATAAAATTGCTTACAAAATGTTTAGATTTTGGCATTAAATAACCCACAGAGTTGAGTTTCAGAAAATTTCTCAATTCGTTTATTCGAAAACTCTGTTAATCGTACGTCTAAAATTCCACTGACACCAGAAGTTCTGAAGAAACTAGCAAATCGATTTGTGCTGGCCAAGTTTCAAAGAAAGGAATTAGAATTTAAAGGACAAATATTTGGTAATAAATATTTGATTAGTAAATAAGACATGTTGGATTTCGCTATACAGAAAATATTTAAGCACCATTTTTTTTTTATTTGTAATGTCGTCTAAGTATCGATCCGCCGAAGAAAATGATTGATTATTTGAAATCTGTTGCATTTTGATAAGAAAAGAAATAGAAAATAAAAAAGGCAAATAAAGTAAAAAAAAAAAAGAAAAAGAAAAAAGAAATTCAATTATATTAAACATCTAAAACTCGTTTTCATAACTTGGAATATTACGGGTAGGATTTATTACGGAATATGGCCTAACTTTCATTAACTCTACTAATGATTACATAATGACATAAACGATATTGGTGACAGGGAAAAAAAACTGCAACCAAACTATAGTATAAATGCATTTCAGCATCAACTGATTTGAACACAGTACACGTAGGCAATTGCAAATAATTTGACTATAAAAATATATCGAAGATGAGGAACAAACGAATTGTCAGTGGTCAGGAATTTATGCAAATGTTGCTGAAAATGTAACTTTGCAAATGATTCGTTTGCGCGTAATATTGATGCCGTTTAGATGACTGAAATAGAAGCTAAGAGGTTGGAAAGTTTAACATTTTAGCTCGTGATGAGGCTTGCTACCAAATACTTGACAAATAGTTCTATATTATCACAATGAGAAGTAGGGACATGGAAAATAGGTAAGAATTTTTTTATCAAACTTCTAAAAATTTACGATAAATTTTTAAAATACTAGACTTAGAAGCTCAGAAAAAATTGTTTTTTGAAAGATGAGGATTGTGAAAACAATTTCTCTGCGTTTACCGTAGCGAGATGGTTAACAAGTTTGTCTTGCACTCTTGCATATCAATTAGCTACTTAAGTGAATTTGATACTCACTAGGTGCTCAACTCTTGTGTCAGTTAAACTTAGTAAATATTCTGGGCTTATTCAGTGGTTGAAATATGCGTATTTTCCATAGGTCCAAAGGTCGGTGTTCGAGTCTAGATGAATCATTTTTTCGAATTCTTATTTATCAACGCAGATAGGCTTGGTCTTTAAATGATTTACAAATTCTACATAAAGTGAATCTTTCTACACAGTATACTAATTTGACGTTAAAATGCTGGAGTTCACTTCTTAATTCTGTCTGTCTGCCGATTTTTCATGAAATTCCTCGATGATTTATTATTTTCACCAGTTAATAAATAACGATCGTGTTTTACTACAGTTGGATCATTTGTTTTTTGTAGAACCTGAATTAACGATAGCAACAAAAATACACTACTAAAGGTGTCCGTAATTCAATACAAAAAGAAAATATACCCACCAACACACCCCTAGCTAAAAAAATCAACATTTAAAATATTTTTTAAATCAATATCCTCGAACAATAACGGTTGACTGTTACACACTATCATTTTTTAGGAAAAAAAATGATGTTTTTTTTTTAGATGTTTTAATAATAATAATAATAAATTAATGTAATAAATTTCAGATAAAAGGACTTCATTAATTTTAAATTTATTCAATAATCGCCCACAGCGAAATTCAGTTTTACTTTTGCGGCATTATGAAATTTCGAACACTTTTTCTTCATGATAAGCGTTGCAAAGTAAACATGTGCAGGGATTTATTTTTAAAAATACAACCCAATATACTTAAATTTTGGATACCCTGATATATGAATTTCTTTATAAATATTCAGAACTACCCAGGTATTTTCGCGGGTGCCGTGGGAAAATATAATCTTTATCAAGTTTTTATAAAAATATATTTTTTTTTTCAATAAAAACTTCTATTGATGCCGTTCACGCTCAGACCATTTTTTCACCTTTATAATTTATTAATTTATAATTTATTAATTGTTGATTTAAGTTCATAGAGTGAATTAATAAAAGCCAGGCAATTAAATGGTCTGGGACACAAATAAACTGGAAGTATTCCATTTTAAAGAAATCTTTGGCCCCAGTTTTTTAAAATCTAGAAATTGTCTTAAATGAAATTTAGTTTAAAAATTCCCAACACAAAAAGTAGAAAGCACAAACAGAAAATTCACAAACTGAAATTAAAAAAAAATTGCTTCTTTCTTTTGAAAGACAGAATGAATTTTTTTTAATTTAATTACCGAATAAAATGAAAAATCGATAAAAATTAATTCTACATTTTTAGTTTAATAATTTGGTTCATAAAATAAAAAAAATAGATTTTTAAATGTTTTTTTATTTATTTAAATAGTTATGTTCCGTTTTTGAATTTGTTCGCGTGAGGCGGACTGGAAAAATGTATAGTTTTTCATCAGGAGTACAAATCTGTTGTTCACAAGCACACAATATTTTTGTAATTATATATCTAACAAAACAACTTATAAGAGTTATTTATTTTACATACATACATCTATTGAACATGTTCTAATAAATTCTTTTCAAGGCGGGGCTGAGTAATTTTGTAAAGAATATCTCGTTTGATAAAAAAACAAGTGAATGAATGTCTGGCGTATTTATTTCAAATTCTAAATTGCTTCAATGAAAGCTCGATATTTGCCTTGAAGAATAAACAGTATTGATGTCTCAAACGTAAGCAGGAATATATAGGAATTTTCTTTTTAATGCTTAGCTTACATTTTGAACAAAGGCGCGTTTATATAGCGAGTCGGAAGAGGATCGAACTAGTAACATTGGAATAGCAGTGTACACACTGCAAAGCACAACTCGGCAACGAAGAACAGAAATTCGACCAGATAGATAGACAGATATTTTTTTTTATCTATCTATCTACATTCTACCTGGATAGATATTTTTTTTTTATCTATCTACATTATTAATCTGGATAGATAGATATTTTTTAAATCTATCTGTTTCTGAATATATATACAGATTATTATCTGAATAGATCAATATGAGCAGGTAGAGATAGATCGATACATATGACTGATTTCATCGATCTTTAAAGAGCTACATATAGGTAGATAGATAGAATATGACATGCATTGAAAAAAAAATCATCATTATTCATTATTCTTGCTTTTACCTAGACTCGAACACCAATCTCCAGCGACATAAACAATTCGATCAAAAGATCGGCCCATTGGTGAATAGATTTTAACACCCAGAGTTTGTTCGCGAGAGAGAGAAAAGAAGAGCATTTTGTGAGACAGACAGAAGCTCGATGCGATTGATAGACTCCTTGAGAGAGAAGAAACAAAAAATGAAACGAATAAGCGAGAAGAAGTCGGTTGATAAATTTGGCTAAATGCATGCTTGGAAGAAGACAGAACCTTTTAAGCAAATGAAGTTTCCAAAGTCCAAGAATAATAAAAGTCAAGAATTATTTAATTGCAATGGTCAACCATATTTCATTATCTGTTGCAAGCTTTCTTTCCAGTTCATATTTGAATCCAAATCGTCAGGGAATAATAGACAGGAAGAAAAACTGTTTAAAGAATCGATAGTATTTGAAAATATCCGTCCGTACAAAAAATCGAGGAAGACATTTCTCTGGGTAGAAAGACGAGAAGAAAAAAGGGTATTGCGAGAAGAAATGAAGTTAGTTATCATTCATTTCTTGTTTGGAAACCTCTTCGTTATTCTGCTGATGCGTTGAGGTGTAGTGGATAGAGAGGAAAATAATTTTACGACCAGTAGTAGTAGTAGTTTTAAAGTTGTAGAAAGCGGCCTTTATGATTGCTTGCATACGCATGTGTAAACGTTTCTGGCGCACTCGTTTTCACAGACGGTCACACAGGCTGAGAACAACAACATCACACCTACATGTGAAGATCTGTGAGATGAACGAACCTCAAGCTTGGGCGCACTGAACTAGACACCCGAATAGAGTCTATTCAATAGACACACACATGGGCTGAATAAAAACGCGCGAGAGATTTGTTAGAAAAATAACATTAAAAAAAAAGCCAAAAAAAAAATATCGCTCTGAAAATGAATGAAAAATGTTTATCCAACGGCTTACCTTCGATATGAGACCAGGTAAAAATGAAAACTGTTTAAAATCATAAAATAAGCCAAAGCGTTATTTGAAAGTCGGTTGATTGAATATCAGTAGATCCGTTGTTCTGTGTATTTACTTTTTTAGTTTTTTCTCTCACATAATTCACGAAGAAAAACACAGGCATTCAGATGATGATAATGAAAAAAAAAAAAAAAAGATTTTACCCACTCCGTTCAAGTTAAGCATCAATTTGCAAGGTCAATAGCAAAAGGGTGACACCAGCTACTGTGAATTTCTTTTTAAATGAGAAGCCGTGTAGAGGACTCTTTGCTCTTTTGTAGTAATTCGTCAGAAACTGTTTTACAAACTGATAAGAAGAGGCAATAAAGAACAGTCATGTTCGCAGTTGTTCATCGATTCTAACTATTATTACAACAAAGAAAACTAATTACTTACTAGTGAAAATATCAGTCATCCGGTGAAATTCAATAGGGATTTCTGAATGAAAAACTTCCATTTTTTCCTAAATATGACAGTAGTATCCATCGACACTTACATGGGGTTTTTATATCACTTCAACTTCTGAAGAGGAAGAGGCAAATACACGATACGTTTAGTTTCATGTGAGGATGTGTGCGTGTACTCGCTTGGGATAGTTGCAGTGGTGCACAGAAAATTAGAAGTCAGTGTTCGAGTCTTACTTTAAGATACAATTTCAAAAGTAGAATTTAAAAGACCACAACTTCTTCTGAGGAGATGATTCACCCCAATCCACCAGCAACGATTTGTTGCCTGTTATTTGCAAAATTATCTATCTACCTATCTATTTTTTCTTTTCCTCTTTCTTTTTCTAATTCTCTCTTTCTTTTCTTCTATTCCCCTCTTTCTTTTTTATCGCTTTCTTTCTTTTTATATGTTCCTTACTTTTTTATTTTTATAATCTATCGCTTTCTTTTGTCCTTCTATCTCTTACCTTTCATCTAGCTATCTCGTTTTTTTTCTTCTGTTTTTTTTTCATCTATCTCTTTCTTTTTTAATCTCTTTCTTTTCATCTATCCCACTATTTTTTTCGATCAATCGTCTTATCTACCCAACAAAATGCATCATACTTTTTTAGTTTTTTTTTGTAGTCACAGTTATACAGTCACAAACGATTTTAATTTCATAGACAATATAAGAGAATTCACGAGATATTAAGAATTGAAATTGCTGTTGTTAGTTTTTTTATTTGAATTTGTGAATACGAATTTCACCGTTTCTAGCACGCACTTGCATACAACCTCCGTCTTTATCCTACACGCGCGCGCACACACAAAAATGCACATGTACACACAGGCACGCACATAAGACTTTTTGCGTGTACGTTGATTTGAAGACAATGTTCATGAAATGGGTTTTTACGTTTTGTTGAAGTAACTCCCACCAGAGAATCCGTTTTTTTTTTTGTTTTTTTTTATCCTTATTTCATTGAAATTTAAAATGGAATATGGAAAGAAAGAAGAAAAATTGTGTTGAATAAACTAAACAGAAACTGAATATGTTTGAAGAAGAATTTTATAGAGTGGGCGCGAGTATAAAGACGGTGACCGCCGCTTGTGTACAAAAAAATCAAATAATGATGAGTGAAAGAAAGAAAATAGAAGAAAGAAGTAAAGATAGAAGAAGTTGAAAATGCGATGAAAGAAAAAGATTCGATAGAAAATGTAAGAAATGATAACTAAAAAAGGGGAAAGAAACTGAGAATGAATAATGAGTGAATTTGAAAGATGAAAATCGTGTAAAAAGTAAAGAAGTCTAAGATGAATGAATGAATTGAAGAATGAATTGGTAGCAACGATACAATGATGAAGAAAAAAAAAAGAAAACAGAAGAAAAAGTAAAATTGGACTTTAATGATCAAAACGTGGCAATAAATCTCTTTCCCTTTTTTTTAAAAAAAATAATTATTTCATTCATTGTTATTTAAAAAAAAAACTGTTTCTTACTTCATTCTGTATCTCTTCCTTAAATTTCCTTTGTTTATAACTCTTTCATTTTATTAATTTTTCTTTCATTCCTGGAATTCATATTTTCATTCATTCATTCATTCACTCCCACACGCTTTCTTTCTTTCTTCTGATTTATATTATTCTTTTAAAAGTCTTCTTTCTTTTTTCCTTTTGCCGATTCTTTCTCTCCTTCGTTTGTTTTATTTTTCCTTTGTCGTTTACAGACTCATTCTATAATTACTTCTTCACTAAATCAATGGGTTTTTTGTCCCTTTCTTCACTACTGTAGCATCCACTTTCTCTCTTTCTATTTTTGATTTTCTTACTTCATTCTTTCAAAATTTCTTCTTGTTTTTAAATCATCAACTCAATTTTCTTTTACTTATTTGCCATCTTTTCGTTTCTTTCTATCTTTTCTTTCCTTTTTTTTTCTTTCTCTCTCTCAACTCAAGACAGAAAAGAATTTTATCGACCTGTACATCTATTCTAAAACCAAACGGGTGGCCAGGCAACCAACCAACCAAGCATATATGTGTTGCAAGAGACAGAGTAATGTACAGTTCAATATTATTACACTTGATAATGATGATGATGATGATGATGATGATGATGATCATCATCATCATCATCATCATCATCATCACAGCAATGGTGACAATGGTTGAGGATGAACATCATCATTGCCAAGTTGCAACACACTTAGCCTTTTGGCTGCACATTCTATCAACAGACACTGTATTTACACTTCTTATGTTGTGTTTCCTTGTCGACTAAATAATAATAATAATAAAAAAATTGTATTACATTGAGTGAGTGTTCATCACATAAAGAAGAGACTATTTATTCAATAGAATCAAATTATTGCTCTCCCCGTGTGTAAAAGAAAGTGAGAGAGAAGAAGAGAATAAAAGAAAAGATAAGGAAAACATTCTTTTCCTTCTTTTTTTTTTCATAAATAAAAATCATGTTTAATTTTGATTATAATTAATTTATAATTTTTGGAGTAAATATTTTGCGCGCTGATTTGAGTCGTGTTCACTTCTAGAGCGTTAAATAATAATAATCATAATCTTAATAGTAATAATAAATAAAATTTTATTATTATTATTAATAATGTATGATGATGATGATAAGTAAAGCAAATAACAACAACAACAACAGCAAAAATAAATAAATAACGAAGAAACAAAAATTAAAAAGCTGTAACCAAAAAAAAAAAATACTTTGAGTTTAACAACTGGAATGAACTTAACGTCTATTTATTTAATAGAATTTTTAAAAAAATGATTTATTTAGAGGCAGATGCTGACTCTAAGTGGATAGGGATGGTTGCAACTCAGGTGTAAAAAATGTTTGGAAAACACATTTTCGTTACTTGTAGAATGTGTGTGTGTGTAAGCCAGGAGAGAATGTGACAGTAATGCAGTGCATGCATTGGTATATATATGGCGGCTTTTAGCACTGTGTATGTGTGTTTGATAGAGGCGAATACACGGCATGTGATCTCTCTCTCTCTATCTATCTATCTAAAAATCAGTCTATATCTATCTACAATCTACATTTTCTTCAGCTTCCTGCGCTACACATATACACACGCGTGTACATAATGATACCCAAATTATTTGGGGATAAGTAAGAAATCACCCTTTTTCAGAGATTTCAGAAACTCAGCAAACAGAAGTTATGTATATAATAGATAGATAGATAGATAGATAGATAGATAGATAGATAGATATTTTTCTTTCTTTTGCTATTCATTTTTCTACATAATTATGCGCGCGCGCGCGCACACACACACACACATACACGCACGCGCGCACAGACCCATGACGAACATAATTAGGGTCTACCGTACACTAAGGATAAAATGAAAATAAAGAGTTCAAGTCTCGCCAAAGTTTCTTTTTTCATATTCTAAATCTCCACCCTCAAGGATACTCATTCCAAATCCAATCTAATGCGGGCGCGAACCTACACACAATGAACGTATAAATGCAAGATGTGTGGCCGAGAGAGTTGCGTGCTCATCTCCGGTACATCTCTGTTTCATGATATAGCGATTTTCTAAGTCCGGCTCAGATGTGGCACAAGGCCGAAAGTATGGGGCACCCAGTGAGGATCGAACTCACTACTCAGTCATAATTGATCTAGCAAGACAAGCTTTCTAACCATTACACCACGTCGAGGTGCCCCTGTTTCATGATATATACTTGGTGCGCAACAACTAGAATTTTAGACGCTGATTTTCAAGGTAAGCATATCCACACCTCTCGACTTTGAAAACCACATTTACTTAAAAAAAAAAAAAAATCATTAATAAGACAGCATATTCGTGAATTTATACAAACGAGATAGAAACAAAAAAGTAAGAGATTCTTGTGGATTATTCTAAAAAATAAAACAATAAGTAGCAATAATCCACTCTTTCTTTTGTTTTACTTTTAAATTTTTTTTTATCTTTTACTCACAGAACATCCCAAACCGACGAAAAAAATACTGACATTATTTTTAAATAATGTATACTTATACTTAAATAAAAAATGTGGTAATTGTATACATAACTGGTAAATTCATATCTGCATGTAGACATACAATATCAGGGAAGTAAAAAGTTTCATACTTTTAGTTTTAATAATAATTTCTTTCGAAGGCTTTTTCTTTGTAGCATCTCTATAATTTTCTTCATCTTTTTAAACAAAACACAAAAATACTCTGCATTTTTAAGTGTAGTCAGGTGTATATATTTATGTATTACTGACTAAA